GGGTGTGCCGTCTCTCCCCGAGGGGGCCCTGTTTGCTAGGAGCTGGGAACCGGCTCCCGTAGGACGTTGCTCCCTTGCTAGTAGCTCCTTTCTCTCCAGAGCTGCACTGGAAAGGGACTTCCCGCCCAGGGCGTGGTTTCCTCTAGAGGAGGGCTGCCCGGTCCGCTGGCTCCTGGAGCCCAGGGGCTCCTCCTGCGCTGGCTCTGCCGCTGCTGACCGCCCTGCTAGTGGCCGCCTGCAGGCCGCGGGGGCCTGGCTCAGAGCCCTTCCTCATCCCTGTCCCACGAGTCCGCTCCGTGTATCCTCAGCACAGTTCCCTGAGCCATAGGAGCTGTCCTCATCACGGAGCCGGAAGTGGCATGGGGCACACAGCTGATTCCAGCAGAACAGGACGTTAGATGCAGCCCAGCTGTCCGGAGCGTCTGTCCCGCTGCCGTGCGCTGCCTCAGCAGAAGTTGTCGACTTGCAGTTGCAACAGTGGGCTGACTGCCTGCGACTGTCACTTGTCCTCTGTCTGAAGACACTGTGCCATGCCCCAGATTTGGGCCTTCTCCCCAGCCTTGAAAAGTGTATTTTCATGTCCCCCTGCAGAGGGTCTAGTGGGTCCACGCATGTCCGAATTCCCTCTGGGTTCTGCAACATGCAGGACGTGGCTGGCAGCGGGGAGCCGCTCTGCTCATCCCAGACCTGAGAATCAGGAGGCCCTGAGTGTTCGATGGAGATGCGTGAACCCTGAGAAGAGTGGTTGCCACCGACTCGCGGAGATGCGTGTCCAGTACCAGTGATGCTGCCAGCCCCCCGGTGTCATGGGTCTGCTGGCCCAGGCCCAGCGGGGCAGGTGTCCCTCTGGGAGGCTCACCGTCTCCCTTCAAAACAAGTTTGGGCGTGTGGGTGGACAGCCTTGGAACTTGTAAGCAGCTCTCCTCAGCGTACTTGACACCGCCTGCGCAGAGGGTCCCCCAGAGGAACAGATGTTGCAGCTCATGATGCTGTGACATCACGGTACGTTCCCCTAAGTGCCAGGGCTGGTCTCCGTTTTGTACTGGACCAGGCGTTAGTATGCATTACAGCTGCCAACCACTGTCTTTAGGGTGTGGAGCAATCTCAGCTCAGTCCTGACATCCTGTTACTTCAGAGGAGCCTCGAAGGGTCTGCAGGCAGCTTCCTTGCAAACACACGATGCAGGTGGGGTGTTGATGCCTCTACACTTCTCCACTGGAAGGTACAAGACCACAATTCAAACTCGAGATGCACACACCTGAACTCTCTGCCCCTTCCCTTGGCCCTTTGACCCCTCCTGTCAAGGGCCTCATTTCAGTTAAAACAATTATTGGAGTCGCCCTGGTGTGACATCGGCCATTTTAATGGGCTTCTTTACCCCCTACTCATGGACACCTGGCTAGTTGCGAATTCCTCCTTTGACTTTGAACTCCTGCCCCTGCCCACTTCCCCGGAACACTGATCAACAACCAGCCTGAAAGCTTGGTGGTTTTCAAGGCACGACTACACCCTGTGGCATCAAGAGGCGGGTCCCGGGGCCTGAGCTTTAAGTCACTGTTCTCGATTATCAACGCTGCCTCTGCAGTGAGCAAATGTAAGAAACCCAAATATTAAGCCCCACCTGAATGCAGAAGTAGGGTGTCCTGCATCTTCCTGGGTGTACAATCAGAAGTGTTCATTACAGAACACTCAGGGACACACAGCTAAGAAAGGCGCCCATATTGCTGCCTTGATTGTTAATATTACAATTTTTATCCATCTAGACATTTTTCTATGAAATTTTTTTCTACGCACAAACGAGTAACTGGATTGGAATATATTCCCACACACACGTTAGTAATCTGCTTTGTTTTTTAAAAAGCAGTTACCATGAGAGTCCAGGCCCGTTGATAATCTTCCTACATAATGATTTTTAACACTTGGGTTCCACTGGTGTACTGACTGCAGACATGTGCGTGTCGTCACTGATGTGCCGAACACGAGGTAAGCGCTCTGCTTGCGCCGACCCAACCCCCACGGTCGGCCTGTGGGGCAGTGTACAGGTGAGGAGGCTCAGGCACAGAGAGGCTGCACAGCCCGCTCAGGTCACTCACCCAACTAGGGTGGAGCAGGTCTTCACCTGATTTCCCGAAGTCTGAAGTCTAGGTGTTGACAGACGACGCTCTCTGAGGGCTCTGGGAGGATCCTTCCTGCCTCTTCCAGCTTTTGGAGGCTCCAGGTGGTCCTGGGCTTGTGGCCTCGTCCCTCCAATTTCTGCTCCATCTTCACGTGGCTGTCTTCTCTGTGTCTTTTGTAATGACATTTATCATTGGATTTAGGGCCACCTGGATAATCCAGGATGTTCCCATTTCATGATTCTTTTATATATATATTCTTTTATATATACTTCAACTATATATACTTCAATTGAAGTATAATCAGTTTACAATGTGTCAGTTTCTGGGGCACAGCACAATACTTCAGTCATATGGGAACATACACTCATTTTCATGTTGTTTTTTACCATAAGTTGCTACAGGATACTGAATATGGCTCCCTGTGCTATACAGTATAAACGTGTTTATCTATTTTATATACGTTCGTTAATATCATGATTCTTGACTACATCTGCAAGGACTCTTTTTCTCAGTAATGTCACGTTTACAGAGTCCAAGAGGCCATACCATTTTGGAAGCCACCATTTTCCACCCACGACTGCCCTTTTGGGCAGGTCCAGCCATCATGGTCCTGGCCTTGCTGACTCTGGGGCTGCCTAGTCCACTGTCCCAGGTCCACCCCGAGCCCAGCTGTAAATGTCAGGGTCCCTCCTCCCAGTGGAGACCAGTCAGGAGTTGAAAGGCTAAGATCCAGGACTGGGGAAGACACGTCCTCAGAGAGACGCAGCAACATTTGTCTTCTTCCTTGTCCCAGAAGGTCCTGTTTTGCTTTTTGAAGGGAAAAAATTAAATTTTATGAACAAGGAAAAAGAGGTCATAAGCCTTTTGACTTGGTGATAAGGAAGAAATATTGTTACAAAGATGAGAAAGTAGGCTTCTTGAAGATGGCCTTCACACATGCACATGCATACACACACACTCGCGCGCGTGCACCCACACCCACACTAAGTACTCATTATTGCACGCGTGCTGAGGGTGGTGGCTGGGATTCACTGGGACACTCAGGAGTACCGCATGGTCATGACAAGCATGTGGCCAGAGCTGCAGGGGAGTTCCTTGAAGGGCAGCCACGGTCTCAATGGCTGTGCTGGAGGACACTTATATTGTGATCCAAGAGAGGAAAGGTGACAGGTGACAGATGAAGGGACCAAAATCGCTCTTCATCGTTCTACACGGAGCCTGCCCATGGGAGCCGGGAGGTCGTGTGCGGCTCCTGAGCTGGTGACGGCGGGCTCTCCCGGCAGCTCCTCATTTGCCAGCTCTGATTAATCACCTGTAGGAACACCTGTTCAAAAACCAAACATTTTAACAGAATTGTGTGTGTGTTTTTCGGTTTTTTTTTTTTTTTGGTAAGTGCACCGTGAACACCAAGAAAAGCCATGCACGCGTCCATTTGACTTTGCCACAAGTTGGAAATGCAGGAGGAGGCCAGTTTAAATTCGAGGGTCGCCTTCAGCTGCAGTGCTTACATCACACAGACCTCCGGCCTTACTCCTACGTCCACATGTGCAGATTGAGGGGGAGCCCTCGGCACTGTGGGCTGTCGGGTCAGGACAACACGGGGAGAAGCCAGGAGGACTTCCACTAACCATGCTGCACCTGACCTTGGATGTCCAGCCTCCAGAGCTGTGAGGAATGAGGTCTGTCATGTAAACCGCCCCATCGTGGTGCTTGGTCAAGGTGGCTGGGAAGAGACCAAGACACATGGTTACTCTCGGCAGTGTTTGGGGCATTTTAGGCACTTAGTCAATCAACAGTGATCAGTCAGTAAAGGGTCATTTGCTTTGGTTATTTCCTCTCTTGATTTTGCTGAGGCTTGATTGCTCGTCTTGTCTCCCAGAGCAATTGTTTGATTGTTTCGCCCCCAGACCCCTTCTCAACAGGATGCTTAGCACTGGTTGGAGGTGGGTGGGGGTCGGGAGGGAAGCGCAGTGATGAGGAGGAGGAGGATGGTGCTATTAAGACATCTCCATGCTCAGGCCATTTGTTACTTTCTTTTAAACTTTTCCTGCCAAGATGTGGAA